AAATTCAGAGGCGAATCTGAGAACAAACAAATGAAAGTGGTATGGCTTAAAGTACTATAGAAAAAAAAGTGATTTTACCACAGGTGCTTGTGCGTAATATTTGGTTTGAAATTTTAATAATAATAATGATAATAATGATTTAAACATGAAAACAAAGTACACACAAGGATAGGACTCCTAAAATGAATTAAATCCAAACATGGATTCTAAATCTACAATACTGCATAGTACATACTATTAGGTTTGACAAATTAATTTCTATACATCTGGGGGAGGCATAATCAAATGGGATATTTAAAGAAATAGCAGTGACAACAGACTATGTCTTAAAAATAAAATGGCTGTTTCGGCCTATACAAAGCCCATAAAATCATGGGATGGAGATTTTTCTTTTTTATCCTATTAAGTTTCAACTGTTGCTATGTCTGTAAGGGTGTAACTTGAAGATCTGTATTATCTAATAAGCACCATTTGTAAAATATGTTTCAGCAACCCCCCCGTATACCACCTTAAATTCATGACCAGGTCCTACATAAAGAAGCAATGAAGCATACCGACTACAATGAAATGTTAAATAGCCAAACGGCGGTGGTTGCTATATGGACGTTTCCAAAATCATATCCAGTTGTCCGAGTAACTGTTATTACCTTGATGTCAAACCTTCATCGAACTGTTTTAGTCTCTATGTAATAAAATTGATGTAGATTGAAAGCCAGACAGAAGTGTTTGGATGGACATCTTGAGGGCAGGGACCAGCATAAGGACATCCGATTGGAAATCTATGCTAAAACCACCAGAAACAATCACTTTAAAACAGATTTACCTTTATCTCGAACCTCCAGTTTTTTTACCCCATCGCAATCTTGGATTTGTCAGGTATCTTTTGGGACAAATAATGGAAGTTTGACTCCGGGGTTTTAATGGAATGATACCAAGATTATACCCCATGGCAAGTGGGACAGAAGGTCAACATGTATTTAGAGGTCAATGACAGCTCAAACCCTGGAAAAGGTCGTACGTTTTGGCCATATTAAAAAAATACATTCTTCTGTCCTTCTTACAAAAAAACTAGGCCTTTCTGAGCAAAATTTGCCCAGGAAAAAAAATACCCAAAGAAAAAGTCCCAAAATATATCGGTGTACACACTTCTAGTTCTGCGCATGGCGATTTGCTGGTCCCTTCCCTTGAATGTACCTCGTACAAGGTCAAACTGAATTAGACTTTTTTAAACTTTGGTGCGATCATGAGTGGGAACTGGTACTTCTTGGAGTAACTTGGTGGCCTGTTAGAGATGACTTCCCACGAGATGTTCTCTTTCTTAAAGCCTGCCTTCTTCAGGTGAAACATTTGCGTCTCCTGTGGGAATTCATTTTAAACATGTAAGTGTTTTTGTAAGTTGTTTATTAATCAGGATGTTGAAAATAAATGTTTAGCAATAATGATCTTATAAGACTCATCGTCATTTTATTGTAATTCTAAATCATACTACCAATTAAAGACTGATCACGGCAACTTTATATTGCAAAAGACAAGTAGCTCTCAAATTTTGTAAAATTGGATACACGTATATATTAACATTCGTCATTTTTAAAAGTCTGTAAAGATTTTTACTTTGTTTTACTCTGACAATTTTATTCTGATACCTCACAAGTAGTCATTTTCAATATACATGTACATTTTGAAATGCATTTTCTTTTACGGCAAAACATCATGGACGATTGATTTTTTAAAACCACTTCAACACCGTCCATTATGACTGGTTCACTGTAAACTGAAATTGAATCTATTTTCTCATAAACACACACTCATTGACTAGTTGTAGTGCAAAACCCGATACCTTGAACATGGTTTCTATGTTGTCGTACGTGTCCTTGAGTAGCTCCCCCCCCCGAGGTGAGGTTGCAGTACGTGATCACTCCGCAAGTCTTCAGTAACCCCCAGGCGTGTTTACCGATGAAGTCAAACTGGTGAGTGTGCCACTCAAACTCCGACATAGGGTACGTGTCGTACAAAATACCTGCAAATTTTGATATAATTATTTCATATTATGTATTAAACTTCAACTCATAATTCCGCCACATTTAGCTGTAAAAGAATTAAAATCTGTTTTAAATAATTTTAAATCTGAATAGAAAGAGAAAGTTTAAAATGTAAAATTATTCAGTATCACATTAGGGTTAAAAACTGTTAAGGTCTACTAAGCAATAAGTCTTAAACCACAGAAATATAAAAATGATCGGATTATGTTAGCGTGTTAATGAAAAAAAAACAGATAGTAAGGTTTGTACTTAAACTGTATTACTCAGAAAAATACTCAGCAGTTAGGGTACTGTCATCCTTTCGCGATTGTTAACTCAGTCATAACAAAAATCACACCTCTATAAGTTGACAATACTTACCATCGAAGATTCCATCTTGTAAAGTCGGAACAACATCCTGCCACATACCCTTCAATGGAACAACCTATGAAAATTCAAAACGATTAAACGGTCAAACGTAAGTTCAGGAATTGAAAGCTGGATATCGGGTTAGTAAGTCACTGAATGTTTTTTTCAATGCAGCCGATGTTTCTGTTGACGTTACGTTCATCATTGCAACTTCAGCAGAAGGTTGCTTTGTTTTTTACTAGAAAAATAGTTATTTTTTACACCCCTGTACGTTTAAAACCGCATGTAGATACCGTTCCCTGTAAACGTGTAAATATCAACACCTATGCTGTGCAATTCAAAAGAGCTTTGGCCAGTGACGTCATCAAATTAAGTATAGTTATCAATAAAAATTAGATAAGATTACATAAGCTTTTAAGATTTGTGCAAGTTAACATATAAAAACGAAAAGTTAATCTAAAATGAAAACAAGAAGCAATAGGTGACAATCCTCCGTGAAGTTTAATATATTTCAACAAAATCCCAAGCGTCAACGCCAGACCTACTGTGCAGACATTATAATTAGGCAACGGTTAATACAATGAGGGCGCGTCACAAGCATAATACATACAAAGAGCTAAATCCATTACTTCTCCCAGGGCGTGTAAAGATACTGTGCTTCAAGTTCGAAGTTCATTTTAATTACACACACACAATCATCGCATTCACATAAAGATCGGACTATCATGGTCGTGTCTAGTAACAAAGACAGCCCCACCAATACTAGTCTTATTCAACAAACACTGGGTTTTCACATCCAATGTTTCAGTGACCGTCTGTCACCTTCTTCAGGACAATAATGACTGTTTCTGATTCTTACTGCAGCTAGATGCTTCAGACAGTCACCAAAGTGTTGGATAACACGAAAACTTACAGGTTGTTGAAAAAAGAACTTCTTATACAGTCGATGATTGTGATGTTTTTTCAGGTTTATCTGCGATGTTTGCAGGACACAACCCTCTCCTGTATGACAACCTGAGTGTGAATCCTTCTGTCACAGTCGGTCTGGTCAACCTGGAGTTCTCAGGAGCTGTGCTGCCTTCTGAGGTAGGTGGATTAAGAAAGGAAGGAAGAAAGGAAGGAAGGAAGGAAGGAAGGAAGGAAGGAAGATGAATAACAATGGATAGATGGATGGATGGATGGATGGAAGGATGGATGGAAGGATGATTCCTTCGAAGAAGTTCTAAGTCTTTAAGAAAGTCTGACCAGTTCCTTGTCTGCCTGTCTTGTTCTATAATGGTTTTGGTTACCTGGTGCCATCAGATCAGAGAGGATTCTTGGAGTCGTGTTTGACTCCTCGATCTTCCCACAACACAGCCGACCCAACAGCGCCACCACGCGGCTCACGGTAGGTACTGCAGGGGAGGTGGTGCTGGGGTTCTATTTTAAATGAGTTTTTATGTTTACCAAAGGAAAACATATTATTTTTGCTCTATTTCCTCTTGTTCTTTTCCAAACAAATAAGTTCAATGAACCAGATGTCTGTCACCATGGTAACTGGTGTTCGTTTACATCATGTTGCAATTTTATAACAGGAGGGATTTAGACTCCTGTCACATATAGATTTGTTAGAGCTAAACCAGTTAATACTGTGGGGGCCCTCACATGGGAAAATAAGTCGTGGTCGCCCAGCAAGAAACTACATAAATCAATTAATGGACGACACCCAGCTCGACAGAAAAAAACCTGATGGTAGTAATAAAGGATAGGAAGAGATGTCATTGGTACCGAGGGAAGCTCGACCCAGTGAGTGAGTGAGTTAGAGTTAGAATTAACAAAGCGTACCATATGCAAAGGTAAACATTATGCATCTGCTTTGCAAATGTTACCTTTCTAGTTATCTGTTTATGTCAATCCTTCCATTAATGTGGTAAATAAACATGATAAGTGTGGTGCGATCTCTTAAATATACCAAAAGTTGCCCCCCTCTCCTCCCCCTTCCCCTTGGTGCTGAACACCATCCATACATTGATGAACATGCCTGTCCTTGGTGCTGAACACCATCCACACACAAACATCCACACACAGGTAAACATACCTGTTCTTGGTGCTGAACGCCATCCACAAACAAGCATATCTGTCCTTGGTGCTGAACACCATCCACACACAAACATTCCTGTCCTTGGTGCTGAACACCATCCACATTCAAAGTAACACCCAAAAACACTAGAAGCTGTATTTTTTTCTATTAGAAGCTTTCTCAGAGTCTACAACATATATATTTAGTATTAGTGATGTTAACTTACTAGTCAGAGACTTGGGCTTCTCAGATATTTTCCTAAGTGACAAATCGTGTATCAGTGATTGAGATGTTCTGCTAGTTTATAATTTGAGACTGCAGAATTTAAAAGTGACCATATAACTTGTTAGTCCTTTTTTTCTAGTCATTAAAGAGCTTTATCTGTAAATATAGCAATATGTTAAGTTTTGGATCATATTTCTAGCTATTGAGACAAGCAAGCCGTCAAATCTTATGTGCTTGAAAGAAAAGATTGGCATAAAAGCAAGGTGCAATGTAAGAAACAGTCTTTCTTATTCTTTAATTGGTTGTAATCATTAGTATGTATGATTACTTAATGAGATATAATAATGTTTCAGACTTCCCAATTTAACAATAAATTTGAATGTGCAGGGTACAAAAGACTTGAGTTCTGTCCTCTATGAGGACAGCTAAATCTTATAATGAAGGTACTGCAGCCACCATTAAATAGAACTTTCTACACGAAGCTTTACTACAAGAAGACCTAAACGCCCTTATATAAAAATTTCGTAACATGGTATCGTTCAGGTGTCTCAATCACAAACATAAGTGCTTAGAAGGCTAACAGATACTTGTCTACTTTTCTCTCATGGATAAGTCACCCATGGTTTGTTTGTATACGGTATCTACTAGCAATAGACGTCTGGTCTATTCATTCGGTTGTCTTTCCTACGTACTGCCTGATACTTGTAGATTTCACAGGATACTTGCGCTTAGCTACATGTGTGCGGTCAAATGCATGTGTGCGTTTGGCTACATGCGTGCGCTCAAATACCTGCAAATGCGTGCGCTCAAACACACGCGTGGACTTAGCAACATGCGTGTGGCCAGCTCTTGGGTGATGCGTGCGTTTATAATAACTCGTAGCTCCATACGTGGGCCCAGGTCCATACGTTCGCTTAGCTTTTCTACAGTAGTTTGGAACCATAACGGTTACTATGTATAGGGTGAGCAGGAAAAGCAACACCATGACTATGGGTTGCCATTGAGCCGGTATCTCTTGGAACAGAAAACGTAAGCTCCTCCCCACTCCACACTCGCAAGCTCCACTATCGTGACACATGGCCTGGTGACTGCAGCGGCAAGCGCCTGAAACATGCAAGTCTTGTTCAGATATTACCATACATGGCTCTGATCAAAACTTTAAACTTGTATACAGCATTAAATTATGTTTACAGGAGAAAAACATATTGTTTGTGCTCTGTTTCTTCTCCAAACACTGACCTCTGACCTGGTTAATAATCAGACTGTCTCTCACCATGGTACAAATGTAACTGGTGTTGGGTTACATCATGTTGCAATTTTATGGTAGGAGGGATTTAGACTCCTGTCACCATATGTATGAATGTGTTTGAAGTCGTGAAGAATGAACAAAGCAGACCACATGCGAAAGTAAACATTATGCATTTGCTTTGCAAATGTTACCTTTCTAGTTAAACGTTATATTTATATATAATTTTATTAATTTAAGTATAATTTCTTCTTTTAACTACCCAATACCCACAAATTTTGGAGAAGGTAGGGTTTTCCATTTATTTGTATCATTTGATGTTTTTCTAAATAAAAAGTATAGATACTAAATGGTTTTATAACCCACCATGAGAGGGTTGACCTCCCAGAAGGGGTCGACCAGCAAGGCCTGATGGTATTGCTCACACGGGTCATGTGACCAGGACAAGTGCCAACGCAGGTAGGACTTTATGGACGTCCAGACACTTCCGGAGCCTCCACTGCACTCAGGATGGTCCTGACAAAAAACAAAATCATTATGGTAACTACCATTTTGTGAGTCTCGGCAACAGAACAAACCCAATGGGATACCCGTGATTATATACAACACACGCACACACACACACAACCACACGCACACATGCACACGCACACACACAGGCACACACACACACACACGGACACACACACTAATCTATTAATCAGTTCTACTGATCTAACGTTCTATCTTGTGACGGAGCACATGTAATGGCTTTGGGTAGGCCCAATGAGGGGAGCGTGGGGCCCGGGATCAGGCAGTTGGGCCCAAGCTAGAGAGGGGGAAGGTCCGGTGGAGGACTGTTGTAGACCTCTTTAAATAGGAAAAGCATTAAACGTTCAACTCGCTCAACTCGGCTCATTGTCTGACAAGTGGTGTGCAGAAGTGGGATGATTCACCGAGGGCAAAAACACC